TATTTTTTGTGAAAGATTGGTACTTTTGTCCTGATTTGTAGGAATCTGAAAAACGCGTTTCACAACTTGTCTCTTATTTAGTTTTATGCGTCATTCAAGATGGCGGCCCCCATGTAGTAAATATCGTATTTATTTTATTATCACGTGTGCGCCGACTGACTGTGATTGGTTCCCCAGGCTCCGTACGCATAGTAGATGAGCAACCCGGGAACTCGAATCTCCGATCATGAGTCTAATAGAAATTGTTTCACACTTACGTAAAAACTGTCAGCGTTCATCTTTAACATGTGTTTCTTCTTACGCTTTCGTACTCTGTGGAACAACGACATTGCAAGAAAGCACATGAAGTGCATAAAGCTGTGGTCGTTAAGATCGTTATAAATATACATATAAATCAAAATGGATGTTTGAATTCAAATGGACTAACCCAGGGATGGCATTGTGTCACAGGTTTGTGTTTTTCCCTGTATCTTGTGGTAGTTTAGAAATATTATTTGTGCATAGTACACTTCTAATACCTTAGACGAAAGCGACCGCTGAGATCTCGCTGAGAGAGAAAGTCACGAGACTTGCGTTTGATCCTCAAATAGAGTTCTATTCTATCCTGTCATCGTGTTCACAGTTCCAAATACCCCGACAAAAACTATGGATACACAGGTCAGCAGAACAGTGAATGCGATTACACTATGGGGGGGGGGGGCGTCCCGTGGCTCTCTCGTTCTCAACGAGATCTCGACGGCATTTGTACATTCTTAATCACCTTACCTTCTGATCACTATAATAGCTGATGGTATAGCACATAATGTGATAATCAGAGCTACAATGGTTACTCCTGCAGATACTTCGATAATAGGATCAAGGGGATCTAAAATCGTCAAAATAAAAACAAATATCACGTAATACACATTCACCATGCTAGCTTCAGAAATACAGAAGGGCAGAAGGGCAAGTTTAACGATGCTGTTCACAATGCCGATATTGTTTTGATGTGCGTACATCCAACAATAATAAATACTGCCTTCCACAAGTTGAGTCGAAGCATATACACAAGACAGAATTTGATATATCCAAAACACCTGTCAAAAGCGCTCTGATTGGTCTGAATGTTAGGTGTTAGGATTGAATAACCAATCAGGCCCAGTCTTGCCAGAACAACTACCGGGTACACACCCAAACTAACGTCTATCTGAGCGACAACTTATAAATGAGCTAACATGAGTTTGTCATAAAAAACAAACTGTCAAACATCTTGCCTAAGACTAGGTTACTAAATATTTTTTTTTCGCTGCTAAGATAAAATTAAAAAGGATGGATGACCTTTTAGAATATTAACGATAAATTAATTCACTGTATATCTAAGTCCCTTCGCCAGAGCGATGATTAAGACCGTAGACAAATTAGAAATTTAGTGTGCGACGCTGTGCAACTAATTTTGACGATGCCATCCAGATTTCAAATGGGATCCCTAGCAAGTAAGATGGAGCAACCCCCAACTAGACCAAACACAATACCCGTGTAGTTTGTTAGACCTGTTTTGAGCACATGCCAGAAGCGAATAACATAATATTACTAACACGATGGTACAGCATCAATTAGTATATCAATTGGATATTCACATCGTGGACCAGCAAAACCCTCCTGACAACTGCAATAAAGAAGGAAATACTATTTAAAGTGCAATAGTTGCAAACAATTTCACACTCAACGACGACAATGGTGTTTTTGTTGCTCAGTCTGATAGATTAGACCACGTTTGGGGACAATTTGTTTTTGCATCGTGCTTGCATGCATGCATGTATGTCCTGATTGAAAGCACGTCGAACAGATTTTGCCAAAAACGAAAATAACCTGTATTTGTTCGAATATGTACGGATTTACTCCATTTAGATCGAAAGAAATCAATGTGCACCGCGCTGATTCGTGATCAAATCTATTCTCTTGAATTAAACGGAGAAGAAAGTCAACTTGTTGCGATTAGGTTCCCAAATCATTATGAATTATAATGAGACAATAATATTATAATGATATACACTTACCTGCATGAAATTGTGTTGTTTGAGTATATAACAAAACATTTGCCATCATTTTTGCAAGAATCATTTGAACATACAGGTATCGCTGAAAAAATAAAACAATAGCTGAGTAATCATATAGTCATATGACGTGTGCTACCTCTATACCATTTGCAAGCCAGCGATGTATGTAAATCATAATTTTGAAATGCACCATCTGAAATAAACACACACACACTCACTCACAAAACGGAATCTAGCTTTCCAAATTGTTATTTTGAAATAATCGAAAAACAATATTGTGATATAATGGAAAACTGTTTATGAGGTTTGAATTTTATTTGTAAATAATAGTCAGCAGGTCATCAATATGCACACCACGCTTATATCCTACTTTTGTACAAACAGTTAAACAACCAACATGGAAACGCTAACATTGATGAGGGGAATTAGGTTGGAGAGTATCTTTGTAGCCACATAGCATGAAAGCAACATGGTTGACAGTTTATAATGTAGAAGCATACCACGACTCTTTTAATTAGTGGTGCTGAACAGCGGGTCAAGGAGAGTAGGTGTCATATGAAAGAGGTTTCGAGATTTGATTGTGATATTGATTGTCGAAAACCTTCGAATTATGATAGCGTTCAATTTGAAATAATAAAAGCATAGTGGCATACCTGTTGGCGGTTTTGTTGTAGGTTCAGGTGTTGTTCCCATTATAGTGGACTCGAGCATTGCTAACTTTGTGCTAGTTAAAGGCCTGGCAGATACTGAAAATGTAGATGATAGAAGTGTTCCCAACTTCGTGGTAGATTCAGTAGTTATTTTGCCTGTGGCGGGGATATGAGGTATTGTTGAATCCGATGATGATATATCTGTGGAATGTTCAAATGTTCTCATCCTCCTAGTGGAATCAGGTGATGTAATTATTCTGGAAGATTCAGATGTTGTTATTATTGTAGATTCAGAAGGTGCTATCACAGAGGTAGATTCGGGAATAGTCATCTCTATTGTTGGTTCAGGTGTTGTTACCTCTGCGCTAGATTGCGGCTGTGAAATAGATTCTGTTTTTGTTATCTCTGTGGCATATTCTGACAAGGTTATCATTGTGGTTGATTGTGGTTTTGATATTACGGTGCGTGGTTCATGGCTTGTTAAGGTGATAGAAGCTGGGAGTGTTATCAGTGGTGTACTCCCAGGTAATGTCAATGAATCATATGTTGACATATCTCTGGAAGATTCTGGCGTTGATATCTTTGTGGTAGAATCAAGAACTGTTATCATTGTGATAGATCCAGGTGTCATTATCTTATTGCCAGATTCAGGTGTTGTAATCATT